ATCTAAAACTCTTTCAACATATACAATAACATAATTACCCTCAAATATCGTTTACAAACCTGTTTGCCAGTCTACCAGTCTTACACTTCCTCTGGTGATTAGGATTTTCTGTCAGAGGGCTGAACAAAGTCAGAGAGCTCTCCAGCAAAACCCTCAATGTCATAAAGCTAAAAAAGAACTGTTGTCACTGTGCAGATTAGATTCTGAGAGAGGCACTTCATCTTAACAACACGCAGAATGTCAAGACTGCCTTACATCACCACTTGCAGATCGGACAAAGTGGCGGAGCGTTTGTGTAGGCGGATAACCACAGTTTTATGTAGAGCAGAAGTCATTAGGATTACTGAGAAATGCACTGATCAAGGAACCTCGCCTTCCCTTAATGCAATGGGAGCCAATGAAAAGGTTTCAGGATCAAAGATAAGGGCATGGGGTCCTTAATAATAATAAAAAATAAATAAATAAATAGCTGTTTTTTCTACTTCCTGACTTGTGATGTCGGTATACCAGTGTCAGCCTGGTATCATTTCAGGATAGAGGTAATTAGGGACTAGAGAAAGGATTATAAATTCTGACAATGGTGTTTGATACCCTCTAAACACTGAACAGAAACAGTTATAACATCGTACTTTTACAGTAAAATCAAAATTCCAGGCCAAATAAAATGATGCTAAAGAGTGATAAAACACCTTTATCCTCATGAGCAGGAATGGATTAAAATACTAAAGGATGAGATTTCTGTTTAACAGCTGCCCTGAGCATAGTACAATTGTCTCTACAGATACCAACTGAGATTCTAACCTACATTCATTATATGATAAAAGCTGCTAAGTAATACTTTAACTTGAAGAAAAAGTTACTCTAACATCTTTATATACAGTCAATTAAAAATGTTTGTTTTTTAAGAATTTCTCATCGTTGCATGCACGTTGCAACTGGACGTCTCACCTCTCTGTGGACTATCGCTGCCTTTTGTGTTCAGAGTGATCAGCCACATTGGCTAAACCTCAGGTTATGTTCTCAAATGCTGTCAAGAGGGCAGCTTTGTCTTTAAATTGGCTTGACAAATGTCAGAAATTAAGACCTTTTTCACTAGTGACTAAAATGGACATGCTGCAGCCGGATATACAAATCCAGCTAAATCCTCGTGGCAAATGACTCAGCTTCCAAACAGGATGTCAGCATGTAAACCGATCTTCACCTACTCAGGTGGCAAGTTAAAAGCTGCCATCGGATATTAAAATTCAGGAAGAAGTCTTTAATGATATTACAATAATTATTGATAACATAGGCTTCCATATAAAGGGCTTTTAAGATACAACCAGTTGCTGTCCGTCCTTTTTAGTGAAAGTCTCTCATTTGTTTTAGAAACACTTATAAATTAAAATGATGTATATTTCTTATATGATGCGATATAGTATGACAAGATAAAAGAGATTTAAGCTGGTGTGCATTTAACATAATGGTTGTTATGTTTAAAAAGTAATTAATATTCTTAACATTAGAGAACAAATTGTCAAAGATGTTAAAGTAAAAAAAATGTAACACTGCAAACACTGGCTATCTGTGTTTGGTAACAAAAAAAACAAAAACAAAACTGCTTTATTGTGGTTCAGTATACTGTACCACATAGACTAAAATAATGTTGAATATTATTGTAAAACTAATGATAAAGACCAAAATGCAAGATTTTTGCTACTGCAAACATGTTTGGCTATAGACATATTTTAGAAAATTAAAAAGATAAGTTCTAATTTGTTTGAATCCAGATTTGAAATATCAGTTCAGTTTCCCATCATTTCAATATTTTTTATTGTCATTATTTATTTTAAACTATGTTTTTAGTGGGTATATTTTAAAATTAACTTTGTTTTAAATTTAGTTTATGAAAATAAATATTTTCAAGTGTATAGATTTTGTTTTGTTTTTTAAAGGATGCACATTTGTTCGGATGTCAAACAGTTCCAACAAAGTCTACTAAAACTAAAGTTTTTTAATGATAGGATTTTTTGCTTATTATCTTAGACAATCTTTACTGACATTTTGTATGCAGTGTACAGAGCTTACAACAGCGTAATGATATTGTAGCTGGAGTAGATAAACATTACCAATATGAAGTGCAGCAGTGATAGATGTAAACAATGTAAGGGAAAAAAAGAAACCAGTATAAATAATGGTGCAAAAGGCATTAATATGAATACCTTCAGTACAGTGCAAAAATGAATATGATCCAAAATGCAGTATTATAAAACATCAGGTTAGAGTTACAAATGACTCACTTATTTTTTCGTTCAGATTTTTGCTGGTACCTTAGGGTACCTATTCAAAATGTAATTGATTGTGAACACTGGAGGGCATAAGATGTTAAAATAGGTGAGCTATATATTCTATAACATGCTTTGAAAAGGACTGCTGCTGCTGGCAGGACCCAAAATTTACAGCTTTTTGCCATCAGTGGTTTAAGGGTAATAATAAAGATCTGAGGCCATTTATTCACAGCTGGTATAGACTGACACAACCTGAATTTTAATGAAACAAGAAGTAAAGTCCTCTGCAAAAAAATGTGAAATGGGATAAGAATGTGTCCTTAATATTTAAAGTGCAGCAATGCAGCCAGTATTAAAGATAAGATATTTCATTCAGAAAGAAGCTGAAACACCAAAAGCAGCTGATAATTCAGACGCCACATAAGCTGACAGAAACGCATAAAGAAAAAAAAAAGATAAATGGAATACATTTATGGTTTTTTTCTTTTGGTCTTTCTGAAAAAATATATTGTTTAAATAGTACTGAACAGATTTACACACACGAATCCTACTGGCCACAGCCTTCTTTCCTTGTGAGGCAGTTAAGGCCTCACATCTTTTATCCAATGGAGTTCGGCATCCAGACCTAGAGAGCCGAGGATTAATTCCACAACCTTCTGCCAGACAAACAATCATCCAGTGAAGAGTATCAAAATCTAACAGCCCTGTTTTGATGTCAAGAAAGTCTGCACACTAGACTGCTAAAAAAAAACCTACAAGCCCAACAAACATAGATAAAAAGAAGCAATATTTGGAATTAAAGCAGGAAGCAAGAAGTATTTTAAGTCCCAGAGAGGGGACTTTTTTGAACAGAAAAAAATAACTGGAAGAGGACAAAAATCAAACTGACGTACACCGATTTATTTTCTTGCTAAATTTGAATTTGCCAACACTATTTCCCTTTTAAATACAAAAAACTAGAGTGAATGAGAAATTATTGATAAAATACAGATTACATTCTCAGAAGGTTTAATTTGATTCATATGTACGTAGTTTGATGCAGAAGCAGAGCATGATGGTGTGTAGCTGAATCAGTTTGCACTGACCTGACATGTCAGGTAAGAGCAGCAGGGGACATCAGAGGTGGTACAGTATGTGGAGCAGTACTGTTATAACTGGGGCCCTAAACAGTTTTCCATTCAGACTTCAAACTATTGTAGACTCAGGTTAGTGTTTCTGTTTTGAAGAAACAAACATCAAACTGCTCCCTGAATTTATGGCCATATTGATTATTGGGAAGATACATTTAGACAAGATAGGCTACAAATGACAAGAATATGTCATTTGTAACCTATCTGACAGATACTACTTCACTACTAAAGTCAGAGGTTTGCCATAAACCAAACATTTTTTATCCACCAAAGACCATCCAGTGTTGAATGAGGCTGTAATCTGGACCTCATAAATGGACAGTGAATGCTGTAGCCAAATATTTACAGTCCTCACAGGGGTTCAGTTGGTGCATTTAACTAATTACCAGGTTGTCAGATTTATTAGGCTGCTGTTAAGATTGCCGGTGGCTTGCTTGCACCCATAATTGCAGCCAAAATGATGCCTTTAGGCTTTATGCCTGAAGCTGTTCAAACAACATTTTTATTTTCTTCACTGTGTCCACACAGAGGAGTAACTAAGACACAATATCACAATATGGGCCCTCAGGGTTTCATGCGAAGCTCTGGATTGTCAACATTTATCATGTTATGTTTTTATTAAATATTCAGCTTACAAGGAAAAGAAAGTTGATCTTTTCAACAAAACTTGTATTTTGTTTGTCCATTTTATTAGAGTTAGAGTTCATATCAGTTTATTTTGTAACAAATTCATTATAGAATACAATTTTGATATAATTATTATACTTTTTATTCATAAAAAACTTATTTCTTTAAATTTTAGCTTTATTTATGCAGGTATGCTAAGACAGGACGTCTCACCATAAATATCTAAAAAGCAGCCTGTTTGATAGATGACGCCTATCAAAAGTTGCCATCATTCCAAAGGTAAACACACATTTACGAAGGCATTTGTATTCTTATATTGCCGATGCTGATAAAGTGTATGCTAGTCAGAAAGCATTTGCTCATCAGAAAGCTGTTAATTTTTGCCAGGCGTATGTCAACTGACAATATATAATGACAAGACAGAACAACAGAGCAGTCATTAGAGAGAAACGATTTCTATCCAATGTCTTTACCTGAGGGACAAGAAATGGGTAGAAAGAGAAGAATGCCATTTGGAGCATGCAAGTAGCTCTGAGCCTAATTGGTTTGAGCTGCTGACTCATCAGGAATACGACCATAAAATGGGGACATTTTCTGATTAGTAAGCTGGCATTAGAATTGAATATGTAGATTCTAGTAAACTTTAAAAACGACATTTAGACTCCCCTCAACTCTCTATGGAAGGATGTATGATACAGAGCTGCATTTTGCATTCCACAGGACAGAGACAGTCCTGCAATAAAAAGAAGGCCAACACAAAAGCAGAAACAGTACACCAGTTTAAATCAAAGGAGCCACATCCAAGTATATGGTTTATTAGCAGGGGGAAAAAATAAACTGTGGTAAGTTGTCCTTCAAGACAAAAAAATAAAACAACAACAAAAAAATCTTATTTATGTTTGTCCCAAGATTTTGAAAAATAAACCTTTCCCAAACTTAAATACAATAGAAGAGTTGGAAATGGTCTCACATTTACCTTTGTCTTTTTCTTTCAGGTTGCTGAGGTATTTTAGAAGCTCTGCATTAGCCTGGACACAATAAACTTCCCTTGTTTGCAGGCCTCCTCCACAAAGCCCCGTCAGGTTGCTGCGCCGTCGGTCCTGTTGGCTTAGCAGTAAGTCAACCCGACAGTCACTCCACTCAGTTGTTCTCCATGTGTAACTACAATGTTGACATTAAAACAGCAGAGAAAGAAGTACAAGAGTCAGACAGCCTGTTGTGAGAGTAACTGTCAAAAGTTCACATTGTAAATCTTGCTGATGCAAAAGAATGTAAATACATTTTACAAAATTACATAAAACAAAAATAACAAAACACAAAGATGTTTCTATGGCAGTGACGATTTATTTTAGTCATTATTTGGTTGGAAGGTTGTTTCAGTATCACTATAATGTTATCTAATAATGATATGACATTTGAACACTCTATTCCAATATATGCTGAAGGTCATACAGTAGTTATAGTGTTCGCCACTGACTGACATTCCAGGTGCAGGCGATAAGCCGAAGGGAAGGAGCAGCAGTACAAAAATAATGACATACAGAAAAGATAGGGAGCCTTTGCTATGCAGCTGTGGGCGGCTAAGCTTCAACATAGTAAGTTGTAGCTATGAATTATGCACTCAAGATAATGTGACCAAACATCGGCCGTTTCCCGATTCACATGAACATGAGTATAGACATGTTCTTGTTAAGTATGTTCCTGAGAAGAACGCAGGAAAGTATGGACT